CCCCCCACACTTTCAGAAATTCCCTCCCCCAAACCCCCCATACTCACCCCCCACTCATACAAAGTACCTGCATAGTTTTACATAATTTTGAGTTTTTAGCTGTGTAATTTAAAACCGTGATTAATTGTGACTCATTTTTTTAATTGCACAACTAATCATAGTAATATTTTTTAATTGTTTGATGGCCCTAATCAACATCAAAAGATACTGATGTAATTGTTGCATCTGTCTATGTTCTCAGATAGTTCTTTCTTAGTATAGAAGGGGAGAGAGGAGTTTTTAACTTGCAAAAGAGGTAGAATAATTTGCAGATACAATAGTGGCTTTCGGGTGTAATCATCAGGGATCCTGGTTTTCTCTAAAAAAAAAAAAAAAAAATTCCCCATTTTTTGGATTAAAAAAGTAGCCCCAAATCCACATTCTTCTATGATTAAAATGAAACACCACTATCACTTTAATCAAGGAAAAATGTGGAATTGGGGTTACTTTTTTTAAACCAAAAATTGGGGATTTTTTTTTTTTTTTTAAATCAGAGAGAACCAGGATCCCTGGTAATCATCATCATAATATTTCTGAATGGGGCCTGAATTTGGAAGATTTAAACTCCTGGACTAAGCATCAATATGCCCTAGATTCAAGCAATTCCAGGTAACCTGTTCTACTTTGTGTAAAAAATGACTGGGGAAAGTTCTGTCATGCCCTCTCCATCCCAGGATTTCCAAACAAAGCAGCATTGTAAAACCTAACCCTTAGCACTGAAACAATCAATTTTCTTTCAAAAATACAGTTTTAGAAGCTGAGAGAAGAATATTCATATTACCTGTCTAGAAGTGATGGTTGGGAAAGTGTATACAACAAGAAACTGTTGGGTGTGTTGCCAAACTGATAAGCTCCTTTGATGACATTTAACTGAGTAGGTGAAACGCAGCTTTGCTGGTCTTGCTGCACTTCAGTATCTGTCATATAAGCAAGGTGCTTTTCTTTCTGTAGCTGTAGGACAAAATTTAAACACTTAATATGGGTAAAAGAATAATCCCGTCTGCACATATCTTATAGTTCCTATCAATGTTCCCTCTAAGTAGTAGCGGTCCATGAGCGCGCCACTTTGGTGCGGCATGGGACACTTACTGAAGGTAAGGTTCTCACGCCTCACCCGGGGCAGGCAGCAAGGGTTGGGGCTAGGGGCTGAGGGTCAGGGGTTTGGGGCCTGGGGGCTGGCGTGGGCTCTGCTGGCTCTGGGACACTGCTCCACTCCCCTGCTTCACCCCGGGGAACAAGGAGACACGTGGCATCAGGGCCAGGGAGTGGAGCAGTTCCCTGGAGCCAGCAGAGCCTCACTCGGGGCAGGCAGCTCCTCCCCGAGGTGAGGCAAGGCAGGGATGGAGGCTGGAGCTGGGGGCTGGCGCAAGCTCCGCCGGCTCCGGGGAACTGCTCCATGGGCTCTGCCGGCTCCGGGGAAGTGCTCCACACTCCCGGGCCGACGCCACACGTCTCCTTGCTCCCTGAGGCAAAGCAGGGGAACGGAGCAGTTCCCTGGAGTCGGCAGAGCCCGCACCAGGCTCCTGCCCCCACCTTTGCCTCAGGGAGGAGCTTACCTTCTGTGTCCCGCACTGCAGCCCAGCTCCTATCCCGGAGGGTGCGCAGCGTAAAAAAGTTTGTGTGTGGCCAGCCTTTTCCTTGTACGCGGCCATGTAAATGCACACCTTAGAGGGAACCTTGGTTCCTATCACTCAGTCAAGACTCTTCTTTAATAAAGAGTATTCTTGAGCAGTGATATGCTGAACCAGCTCCAGAGGTTAAATGGAAAGGGAATGACATGAGTTCCTCAGCTCTATTGGTCTAGACGTTTCCTATATATCAATGTGGAGTAGGGTTTATAGTAAGGATAAACATACCTTGAACATCCTATAGCCATTAAGAACCACTAAGTCTTTCACCATCAATGGCTGACGTTGCTCATATGTGCTGCAGGTTCCCACCAATACACCACGTGTCTTCTTAGTATAATTAACTAAATTTTGAACTTGGGGGAGATGGTCCGTCCTAGAGCGATAAAATAATGAATGCTACAGCAAACCATACCCTATGATTCCCCTTCCCTCTGTTTAATGAAAACAATTGTGCAAACTACTGCTATATTTTATACATATCCTCCCCAAGTAGAACTCTCAAGGACAGTATGTTCAAATATCAACTGCATGTCACATTAGGAGGTGGGTGAAATGTTTTGCTAAAATGTTTTATGGTAGGGAAAAAAGCAGATTTGGTGACATAAAAATATTTCTGCCAATTCCCCATGGTTTTACTAAATTGTGTGTGTTGGGAAAATACCTCAATATTTCCAAAATGTCAAATGTTTAATTGTGGCATTTTTTTAAGGAAATGCTTTGATTTTTCAGTTTGAAATGAACTTTCCACTAAAAATGTCTTTACTTTTATTTAAAAAAAATAAACATCACTTAAACATTTGAAACTGAAAAGAAACAATTTGATCAACCTATTTTTAATCACCAACATTCTGAAATATTTTCACTGCAAGTTGACAAAACTCAAATACTTCTGATTTTTCAGAACTGACAGTATCTTCCCCACCCCAATTATTTGTATAACTCTAGTGGGAATACTACAATTTATATTACTGATCCTTAACTCTTGGACACAGGAACATCCAGTTATTGTCATAAGAATTAATATACTTAGTGTTACTGAGTGACATGTGTGAGAAACCCTAACAACTGATACATACTAGTTAGTATGGATCATCCAGTGAAGTAGCTCAAATTATAGTGGAGGGCCAGACCTGATTAAAAGTATCAGCAGCTTCCTTGGGAAAAATAAACCAAAACCCTTCCTTAAATATGCTACATGACCTGCTGGGTAAGAACGTTGAGCTAGCTAAAATAGCCTGTCCTCTGGAATTTTTGCCTGAAGCCTCCTGCCATTATAACAGCTGTACTACTGAGGTGAACTAGTGCAATCTCATCCTTGACTGAATTTAGAAGCCTACCAAAATCTACTGGCTTGAAAAAAAAGGTTTGCAATTGAGAAAGGGAGTTGGGATACAGCAGCGCAGGTAGAGCAAAACCTCCTTGATCACAGTAGAAATACTGTCCTTGTTAAATACTTGTATGATAGAGGAGGAGTCATTCTGGTGCTCAAATAAGACTTGCTGTAGTGCTAAATGCTATCAGGCTGTTATTGTGCCACTGGGTTGTCAGAAACACTTAAAACAATCTTCACCGTACAGAAGCCCAAAGAATGATGATGATGATGATGATGATGATGATGATGATGATGGAGAGGCCCCCTTCATTGGCAGATAACAAAGCATTTTACAAAGGCCAGTACCATTACCCTGTTTTACAGACTGGGGACCTGAAACACAGGGAGTTGACATTTTTTGCCTATCTTTATCCAACAGGCAAGTGGCAGTCTCCTGAGTGCCAGTCCAGTTCTCTGTCAGGGTGAGCCATACTACCTATATGTAAATACATGCACACACATACAGATTTATTTTTTTTTTTTGGTTAAGGGGAACTTTCCAGATTTGGTTTCTTCAGATCACAGATGGATGAAGGGGCTAGTTTGCATATTGTCTTGCTTCACAATGCTAAGGCCAGGATTTAAGGAAGACATATACAAACCAGAAATACTGCATGCACATCCAAATATTCAGTAATACTTAGCAAAAGCAAGCAGAGCCCAGGTGGGACTACATTTGTGACAGAAACTAAAATGAGGGCCAAATGCCTTTCCTTAGTTATACATGCAAAGATGTATTTTCTACCAGGTAAATACTTGTGTGAGGGGGAAAAATGGGCATGAGAAATGAGCAATTGGATGTTTGCAGAAGTACCCTTGGTTGCTTAAATCAAGAGTTGGCAGCTTTTTAGGAACAGTGAGCTAAATCAACACAGCTCACTCTGGATGTCAGCCACAACTAGAGGTGTAATTTATGAGTTTTGTGCCCTGGACCAGCGACTCCCTTCAGCCTGTTCAGCCCAAGCTGCCTGCTATTGCCTCAGCCCTCCCTGCTCTCTGCCAAGGAATATTCTCTCACTCCCCTGCTGCAGCTGCCCCTTACCCTCACTGCTGATTGCAATAGCCAGTAACTGCTGCCAAAGTCCAATTCAACGGTGAGAATCAGTGGCTGCAATGAGGGGGCACAAGAGAAAGAGCAGGGCAGCATGCTACTGGCTGCTGCTTTCAATGCAGCTATCACTCACTTTACGCCTCCTACTGCTGATGTCCTGACACACATGTGCCTAAAGGCCATGTGAAATCATTTTGTAGTGCACATCCAGCCTGAAGGCTTAAGTAATTGTCTGTTTTACACATGCAAATACTCTGCTTATGAAGTCATCTGGCCACATACTTATTTTTGGTGCACAGAATATAGGCACAGATGTTTGAAAATGTTGGCCCTTACAGTACATCCAACTGATAGATATAGAATGATGCTTTTTAAATAAATTTCTAATAGAGTCATACAATTCAGACTGAGCTTCTAAATATGTCAATAATGTTAATTATGGAATATGTGGTCAATTTTGTATCTGGATCTGTTTCAGATTTCATTACATCTGGACAAAACTGATTAATTGGCTAAATAAAAAAAATACGTGTCATGTTCCATTGGATTTTATGCATTCAGAGAAAATGCATATCAGTGAGAAGAAATAATAATGCAGTCAGAAAGGAAAACAGCTCAAATGTCTAAATTGCAAACTTCCCTAGGTCAAGTACCTTTGTATAAAGACATTGGAGATGCAACCTTCAAAGTTATCCCCACCCAATTGTATAGGTTGGCTTAATCTACGTGTTCCTTGAGGTTCCACTGTCATCAACACAGGCTGGTCATCAAACAGCAGCTTTAGGCTGAAACAAGACAAATAAAAAGAAGAGTAAAAAAAGCATGAAAAACACATGCTCAGGGCATTTAAATGAATATCTGCCGTTTATAAAGAAGAAAACTCCAATGTGAATGTGCGCTCCTGTGAGATTTTAATTTTGGTGGATCTTAAGGCCTTACTCTCCTACATCCCTAGGCCTTAAACCAGCATAGGGTCACTAAGTTTTACAGAATCTCCCCTTATTTAAGATGGTATACTGAGGGTAGACTATGGCCATTCATGCAGAGGAGAAATCCTGGTGCCATTGAAATCAATCATAAAACTTCCACTGACTGCGAAGAGGCCAGAATATCACCCTCTTTCAGCTAAAATGAAATGGGTACACACAGTTAGTTAGACACTTCTTGTACAGAAAACATTATAGTTAAAAGAAGGCTTTAATGCAGAAGCTTCTTTTTAGGCAGTACTAGTTTAATTTTATACAATCCTGTAGAAATCAGCACATTCTAGTAATCACAGTTTTAATAAATAATCCAAACTCATTATAACACAGTTTATATAAATACCCTTCTAGTAGAAACTGAAGTCTTTCATTATCATAATGCAGCAAACTGATTAACCTTCTTAAACACAGACACAGACCTTCTTACACACAGACAGACAAAGAAAACCAGGTCTTGACTTTCCAGTTTGTGGGCTCAAAATCTCAGTACTGCTGTGATGCGCTGCAGCAGATCATGGGGAACTAGCATGCAAATTCTCCTCTTGCTCCAGAATTTCTATATCCACTGTTAGTACAATTTGTCATTAAGTTTTAACAGTGTACTTAACAGCCATAACAAAAGTGCTCATGTTGCAGCCCTTTCAGATTCTAATGAATCTGTGAATTCTGCTAAATATCTGTCGTCAACAATCTCAGACAGGACATGAAAAGAAGAAGAACTGTTGCTAACACAAGGTCTAATCAAAATTCTAGTTTCTAACTGAGCTTTCATTCCATTCAAAAATCAATTAAGGAATTATACTTACTTGTCACCAGTTTTTATTACTGACACATAATGCATCAAACCAGCTTCATATTTTGCACTGGATTGTTTTTCCTCATCTGCCATACTTACGACTATAAATCCATCTTTCAAGTAAACTTCAAGAATATTGTTCTAAAAAAAAATATATGTAATCATACAAAATCATTACTAAACATAGTGCTTCCAGTTTCCCGAGATCACCATGAACCCAGTTCTCAATTGAAAAAAAAAAAATGTGGTCCACTGCACTACTCCCAGAGTACTATGCAATTCAAAATGGCAAGCCAGTTTTGCCTTCCTCCCACTGCCAACCTGTTTTTTCCCCACAGCAACCCTCTTAGTGATTTTACTCAAACTGAGTTTTAACAGTGGTAGGAGATTAAATTCCTGGTTATCTGAATAGTATTCTTTTTCCCCCCAAAGCACAAGCACCCAGGTGTTTTTTCCCCACACTGCCCCTTTAGGTCAATCACTTCTGTCACTGTATTATCAAGGAAATTATCAAAACTCTCTCTGCCTAGGCTTACTCATGGCCCAGGAGTGGAGTAAATGGAAACATGTTTAATGAAAGTTTCAACCCAAAAGCCAACTCAGTCCTTTCATTGATGAGTTCCAAAACTAATTTTAAAACCAGGTGGGAAACAGATTTCCTGTGTCTGATCAAGACAAAGGGAAATTCTCAAATTAGAGACAAAAAATCTGGAAAAAAAATTCATGCTGGATCAATCAAAACCTGTTTTGGTGATTTCAAACTATTTTGTTTTGAAAAGGCATTTAAACCCCCAAACTTTTCATGTAGAAATGGCCAATTTTAAATTGAATTTGGACAATTTTGAATTTAAAAAATTCTTAAATGAGAAATTTGTCAAAATTCACACTTCTCCATGAATGGTTTTGGATTCAATTAACTAGCATTTAATTGGGAAAAAAATTGTAATTGAAAACTTTCTAACCAAATAGTCTGTTTCTGACTGAATCATGTCTTCGATATGTTGGCCTGTCACCAAAATTACATCCTCTCTGTGGAATATTTGTATTTTGATAAGACAGTATTCTTAAATAGAGGAATATTCCATCAGGAAGTTTCCAACCAGACTGAGCAGATACCATTTCATGATCACCCGAGCTTCCAAAACTGGGCAAAAAAGCATGAGTAATACATTCCCACTTCTGCATACACCTGATGTTTATACCAGTAGTGTATAAACTATTATCTCAAGAGAGATCTTTTGGGAAGGTACACTACAGCTCAAACAGAAATTATGAGCTAAGTGCAGAAATTATTGGGTTGACATTCTTTGGCCTGTAGTATGCAGGAACCTGGGCTAGATGAATATAACAGCTACTTTTGCCCTTAAAATTTGCTGGTGGAAAATCTAGATAGCTGGGAAAGCTACTAGAAATACTCACAATCAGATCCGGATACAAAACTGACCAAGTATTCCATAATTAACATTTTACGTACCCATAAATTGTAATATAGTAACCTTCCAGAGGGTGTCAAGCTACGAAAGCCAAATCCAACTTGGAAATCACTGGGATATGGAAAACCCTGGGCATTCAAACTCAGAATTCCATTCCTAGAGAAAGCTGCAGATCTCACAAGCTACAAGGCAAAGAGATAAAGGTTTTCATGTATTTTTGTTTTGCTAATCTCAGCAGTAAATTATGACATTGGGCTTTAATTCTTCTATTTTGGGCTAATATAAGTATGAATGGGTTCTAACTGAAAGCTTACAAAAGGAAAATGGAAAATTACAGAGTTGAGTTTTCAAGGCAAAACAAATAGAATAACTTCATTGACATTACTCTGATCTGAACCACTGTGAAGAGGTGAAGCCTGTTTAGTATGATACACTACTCTATTTACTGTCTGTGTTGTCAAGAAAGATCATAGCAGAATTTAAATTCAAAGAGTAAAAGCAAGAAGACAGGCTCAGTGTCCAAATGAAAGTGCTCTGCATTGCGATAAGGAAACTTGGATTCAATTCCCTTTCATCAATCCACAGGGTAAAGGATGAGCACATTTAATCTCAATGGCAAGGGAAGAGGAAGAGTGAGAGGAGTCAATCGATGGGAAGTGGTTTCTCTGATCAACAAAGGTGGCATTCACAAAATTGTAAAAAAAATTCCACTCACTGTGTAAAGCAGAAAGAACAGTGGCTTTGGCATAGGACTCTAGAAATGAGTTTGCATTTCTGGAGTTGTGACAGCCAGGGAGAACAGACAGATTTAGAGGGTCTGAGTGACAGAGCAAATAATTGGAAAGTGACTGCCTATGTAGACCTCTTACAGATGCGATAGGAGTATTCAAGATCCTCAGTACGTAAACCCTTATCCATCCACACCCTTCATCTCATTTGGTGAGAAACTGAGAAGGCGATTGAGAAGTGACTTGCTTACAAGATATATAAGTACCTTCAGGAGGAGAAAATATGGGGTACTAAAGGACTACCTAATCTAGTAGAAAAAGGCAAAACAAGAGCCACTGGCTGGAAACTGAAGCCAACACACTTAAATTATAAATAAGGCACAGGCTTTTAACAGGGAGGGTGATTAGGCCCCAGAATCAACTGAAAAAAAAGGAAGTTATGGATTCTCCCTTTCTTAAAATGTTCTAGTCAAGAGGATTAATACTTGGATAATATGCTTTAGTGCCACCTATGCTTTAGCATGGCCAGTGTTGTACAGGACATGAGACTACATAATTTCATAGTACTTTCTGGTAGAGGTGCACCAATATATCAGTCTGATATTGGATTGGTACTGATATAAAAAAAAAATTCTCAATCGGATAACGGCCCAATGGGGTCAATAATTTGGCCAATAAAGGCCCGTGCTGCGCGCAGCCGCAGTGAAGCACGGAGTAGAGCTGGCAGTGTGGAGAGCTGCCTCCAGCTGGTAAGTTGGAAGGGAAGGAGGCAGGGAAGGGATGTGGGGGGCACATCAACACCCCCGTGGAAAGGTAGGTAGGGGGCAGGTGCTCCCCAGGGAGGTGGGGATGTGGGATGGAGGCACAACTTGTGGGGGGAAGCGGGGGTTCCCACTGCTGCTTGCACCCCAGGAGTGTAGGTGGGGGTGCGCGCCCTGGATCTGCGCAGGGCAGGCGGAGGGCAGTGTGGGGGTTGGAGCTGGCACTGTGTGGGGCACTTCTCGGCAGGTGCTGGGCTCGGAGCAGGCACCAGTGGCACTGGGAGGGGCTGCAGCCACCCCAAATTTTGCCGCAGCTCTGCTCCCAGTGCCACTGCTGCCAGCCGCCTGGCGCAGCCTTGGCTCTTCCCAGCGCATGGGTAGAGGTGGAACATGGAGCCGGGCTGCCCCTGGGACCAGAGTAGCAGCAAAATCTGGGGTGGATGCAGCCCCTCCCAGCGCCACTGGTGCCCGCTCCAAGCCCAGCCCTCACCCAGTGCCCCGTGCAGTGCCGGCTCCAGGCCCCCCCACACCTGCCCTGTGCAGATCTGGGGGGAACACCCCCTTT